CTTCTTCTTCTTCTTCTTCTTCTTCTTCTTCTTCTTCTTCTTCTTCTTCTTCTCCTCCTTCTTCTTCTTCTTCTTCTTCTTCTCATCATCGTTTGAAATTTAAGCTTCACAAGAAATACAATGTATACTTTGGGTGTTTTTATGGTGTAATCGTGGTCACATACATGCACGCGAGCACGCGCGGACACACACACACACACACACACACACACACACATACACACACACACATGCACATACACACACACACACACAAACACACACACACACACACACACACGCACACACAAACACACACACAATCACAGACACACACAATCATACACACAATCATATACACACATGCACACACATACACACAAACACTTAGGCACACATACAAACACAGATACACAATCGAACAAACAAGAAATCGAAGAAACAAAATAACAATTAAAAAAAACAAAAAATCGAAGAAACAAGCAACAATCGAACAAATAAGAAATCAAACAAACAAATAACAATCGAACAAACAAGAAATCGAAGAAACAAACAACAATCAAACAAGCAACTAGATGTACCTCTGGCTGTACACTGTGCGTACAGCGTAACAATATTGCTGTGCCGGGGAACGGATCGCAACAAGGACAACTCTGTCAGGAAGTCTTGCTTAGCCTCTGCATCTGCTACATCTGTGGACGATGTTCCACTCAGATTGCAGAGATTGCATGTGCTAATTTTGCATACACAAGAAATGTTTTCAGACCCATGGATGAAATGCCTGTATTTATTGATACTTTGGTCAACTTTTTATACCAAGCAAGTGTTGATTTTTTACACACGAGAAATTGTTTCAGACTCGTGGATGAAATACATGTATTGATACTTTTCTGTGTTTGTTTTGTTTTGTTTTGACTTTTTTTTTTTAGCTCACATTTAAGAAATTTCTAGATTGAAATGCCCACCCAGTGAAATATGAATCTATAAAACGAAGCATATGTCATGATATTGTGGATTCAGGCACACGACAATTTAGGGGCGTAGTATGGAGTCTTTGGTATCACCATGACGCCTGCTTCTGATGAAAAAAAAGTATCAGAAGCAAGACATAAGAACGTACCGTAAGATTATACCAACACCACCATGATATGCCCCCAAATCTGACGAATGTCTGATTCCCTTGTGTCTTGACGCAATTAACAGAAGGGTTAAAATGGTGAAATGGTATAGGTTTAACGCCCCTTTCAACACTTATAGGCTATTTAAGGGGCGAGACCTCCGAGTTTAACTTCCATCTCCGAAAGGACAGCATAAACTGGGATATTCGTCTAAAGTGCCTTTCCAAAGGAGACAACGTTGAATCGAGCTGGGGCTCAGGTTCGAACCCCCGGAACCCACAAACTCACGAACACGAGTCTGGTAGCAAAACAGAAGTGTGACACCTGATTTACCCTAACGACTGATTACCCTAAGGCCTGATTACCGTAATGGATGATTACCCTAACGGCTAATTACCCAGAGTCCTCTTGATGGCCACCTGTACCCAGGTGGATTTCCCGCCTCGGCCCGATTTGCGCGCGGGAATAAGAGCCTGTGCATGCATGACCTCGCCGAAGGAGCCCCGGCCGAGTGTGTTCAGGAAGCGGATGTGGTCACGTGGGAACTCGTCACTGCTCGTCTTGGGGACTGGTGCTGATGAGTCTGGGGCGATTTGCTGAGAAGGGTGGCGGGGGGA